AAAATTGTTGCAGAGAAATGGTTGCTAGTTAACTTTTACCTATAATGTTGTTTAGGAAGAAGCACAAGAGAAATTGAGAAAACAAAATGAGATGAAGCAAGATTTTGAAGAGCAAATGGCCTTGAAAGAACTAATACAACAGGCTGCAAAAGAAGAAGAGGAAATCTTTAGAAAAACTATGCTAGCTAAACTTGCTGAAGATGATCGGATAGAATTAATGAATGCTCAGAAACAAAGAATGAAGCAGCTGGAACACAGAAGAGCCGTGGAAAAACTTATTGAAGAGCGTCGTAACCAGTTCCTTGCAGACAAGGTATGAATAGTGTTTTTGAGTCATCATTGAACAGTAGCGTGCTAGTCCATTCATCCACTCATTGAGAACTTTTACATACCAGACAATGATGGATATCTGTTTATCAATCACATGACATACACATTTCTGATGAATCATTTATGAAATCATCTAAAATCTACTTGTTGAAGCCTTTTATGTGTTAAACACTGGTTGGTGTTGAGAACATAAAGGCGAATGTAACGAAGTCCACATGTCATTTGTGAATTTATGATCTTCTCTAAGGACAGATATAAAACTTAATTATAAAGATATGTTATACATGTGATTATACTTATACAGGTATGGATGTGTTGATATGACACAGAAATGACAGAGCATAAATTTTCTGAATGCTTTCTTCAGTGGGAGCCGCAAAAAAATAGGAACCCTATATGCTAAGATCTGCTTATTGGAAGATGATTCAAGTAGCAACATTGAGAGCAAATGTAGAGGAGTTAGACCAGAGGCAGGGAGACAAATAGCAAGGTATTAAATTGCAATGGTGAGAGGTGAAACCCATGCATGTGTACAAGGGACCCAACTGAGAGATGTCAGTGATACAGAACTGATAGTGCTTGTTGAACAGTTACTTCTAGAAAGGTGAGAGAAGCACTAAGGACCACTGTTACCAATTAGTAATACTGTTTATTTCATCTTTAATAATGTTCTGGAGGAAGAGTATGTAGAAGAAAAACTAGACCTCAAGAGGGTACATAATTCTATTTTCCTGTATTGATTTTGAGGTCAAAGACAAAGATTTCTATTTAGAAATTGGATTGAGGAGTTGGAGAGGGAACCAAATCTGTGACTTTGGACACTGATTTTTATCTATGTATGTTTCACTGATAAAACCAAAGTAATACTTATATAATATATGCCTAGGTTGTGTTCAGAACCAAATGTAAAAGTGCTTTGAAAAGATAAAGAGCTCTAAATATGAGAAGTAGAATTTTTTAGGCATATGATAAAGAAATGTAAGTAATAAAAATGTTAGTAACAATTTTTTTAAATGTATTTTTAGTACAGGGTCGACAGGGTCTCACTACACAGATTGGACTCATAGTGATCCTCCTGTTTTCAGCCTCTCAAGTGCTGGGATTACAGGCACGTGCCATCAGGCCCAGTCTCATTCGCCATCTCATTTTGCCCTGGGGGTGAGGCTGGCATGGCATGCCTGGGATCAAACCCTGGTCCCTGTGCCTGCCTATGCAGGTGCTTTAGTCCGCTGAGCTATCTGGCCAGCCCTAAAGAAAAGTTTTATAAAAGAGGAATAGATAAGAATTATATAATTCTTTTTTCATATAGGGTAGAATGAAGCAGTCACAACTATTCAAAGTTCTCAAATATGAAAAAGTTAAAGAACACAAATGTTTTTATAGTACATTTTGAGTTGAAATTAAAAGATACAGAAACTTTTATTTTAGGTATGTTGAGTTTAAAAGAGATTTGCAAGTTAAAAATATCTTGAAGGCTAAAAGAAGAGTGAGGTTTAGGCTACAGTCTCTTAGCAATTTTTATCTGGAATTCAGTATCATATAGAAATATAGATATAGTTTGAAATGTTGAGGTGCTTTGCAAGTTAGGTCTCCAGAGGTGAAGATATAAACCAATTGTGATCTAACTCTAGCATTTAAAGGAGATAGTATCTATACAGCACCTTTGAAAACTAAGTCATAACTATGGTTCTTACAACTAAAGCAGTAATAGTAAGCGATCTATAGATGTGTATGCATATAGCATATATAAAAATATATATACACATACTAGTATCTTTTGAACTTAATGTCATAAATCATCAATTTTATTTTGTAATTCAATGCAAAATAGTTTTATTTTAAAACTTCTGAAAAGGTTAATGTATTTTGTAACAGTCAGTAAAATTTGATTTGCATTTCCAGCAACGTGAACTGGAAGAATGGCAGTTGGAGCAGAAAAGACAAGGGCGTATCAATGCAGTTATTGAAGAAGAAAGGCTAAAACTTATCAAAGAACATGCTACAAAATTATTAGGCTATCTCCCTAAAGTAAGTAAAATTTATCTCAAGTGAATCTTTGTGAGCTTGAATAGTGAGAAGTACGTGACCTTAGGGTATTAGGGGGTTAGTCATCATACACTTATTGCTCTGTTATGAGCAGAAGTAGGATCTTGTCTAGGAATCTTGCTGAGCTCATTTGAGTATATGTAAAATAAAGTCAGTCTTGACACATTGAGGTGTATGTTACATTGAGATTTTACGTTTATATTGCACAGATTCTTTTCTCCCCTTTCAGTATATATCTTAAAATAAGCTATCCTACAACAGCTGTAATACTTTGTACACCAAAGATAATAGCTACATGAAAATATTGTAAGTGGAAACACCAATGAGTGGTGCATGCCTGAACTGAATATGAGGAGTTATATTCTTCATTAGAAGGTTATGATGAGGTACTAGGTAGGCTCACTTTTAAAAAGTATGGTAAAACCGTGGTTTTACTTGTAAGAGTAATTTGTTCTGCTTGTAATCCAAAGCACTTATATCAAAGTAGCAAGAGAGACAAAGCATCTGTGATCACGTGACGCTCAGCCTGCTGTACTGCTCATATTGCAAGACAGCACTCATTTTTTGAATTAAACTTTTTCAGAAATGTTCTCTCATCTTGCAGAAAACTCACTATTGTTTGGAATTACAGTGAACATAGTGAGTTTTCGTGTTTATCTGAGATATACTGTTGCTATCAATAAAATGATTTTCATAGCCACATAATCATTTAGACCCATGCAAATAAATTATTTAAAATATAGAAATCATGAATTTGAATACTTTGTGTAAAACACTAAGGAAGGAGAAAAAGAAATAGATGAGTAATAATTGCCAGGCCCTAGGACCTTATGATCTAATTGGCTAGATAAAATTTGTGAATAAAAATGACATATTAATAATAAATCCATATTTAACTGATAAATATCATAAAATAGATTATAAATTTTGGGGAAGTTTTGGCTTCAGTTTTTTTTATGAGGACAGCAGCTATGGAGGCAGGAGGAGGACCTGGAAAATCTGATATCCTTTATCTAGTGGCCCCCTGTGACTAAGTGTCTTTCAGTCTTACAGATTTCAAAGTAAATATTATGCTTAATTTTGTTTTAAAGTATCTTTAGCTGTATTCTGTGGAGGAAGAGAAGAATAAATGGAAGAGTGAAAATTTTCAAAGAGCTTATTTAAATAATTTAACTCTAAACCTAGATTCTTTGCTGCCAGATTGAATATTTGCTGATAAATTTTTCAAATACTGATTTAAAGTACTGTTGAACAGATTGCAGTATCTTGGATGATTTTACTACCTCTTATATGTATTTGTTAGTCTCAAAAGCATTTTGTGAAATATTGTGACATTCATAAGTAATCTACAAAATATTTTTCTTGTAGGGAATATTTAAAACAGAAGATGATGTTGATATGCTTGGTGAAGAGTTTAGGAAAATGTATGAGAAGAGGAATAAAATTTGTGAAGAGAAGTGATAGCAAGATTTGGTAAAACCTGGGTTCTTTTGTATGTAACCACTAGAATGTCAGTGTAACTTTTGTTTTACAGTTTAATTACAGTAGGAATCAATTGTCTTTAGTTTTCTAAAACATCACCTTATTTCATAATTTATAAACAATTGTCAGATGAAAATGTAACAGCTTAATGTCTTTCACTGCAAAGTGAATTTCTTTTCATTGTTGTACTGATAATTTGAATGTCGGAATTTTTTTTTTTGAAGGTCTGGATTTTATAATATCGCACCATATTATAACACTCGCTATATAAGTATAGGCTAAATCCAGGAGGCTAATTTCTCAGTATCTGCTTTACTGTTCAGAGATTTTTCTATATCCCTATCCTCAAGAGAATGTATTGATGTCAACTAATAAAGGCTTTGGGCCACAGTGAACTGCTCTCTGTATTTATGTTCAAGAACTTTACTTCCTTAGTTTGGCCAGGGAAATACTTAGCATTTGCTCTTAAAGCACATTTTGGAATGATGACTCAGCTTGGCCAAATAAAGGAGGAGCATGTGGGACTCAGGGAAGATGAACTGAAACTAGAAGCCAGGCAGGGACATGATACCATGATACAGAAGTTCAGTTTCTAAGAAGATAAGGTACATGTCGATCTGGGTAGCAGTTAAGAAAAGGAGAAGTGATCCACTAGGGCCCCCACTATCGCCCACTCTGTGAACAGCCATCTTGAGAACTTCCCCAATAGCCAGAGGGATCAACAAGTACTGCAGAGACCGCTTTTGTAGGATAGATATGGGGCTCTCCAAGCCCCTTCACCCCATCATCCCTTCTGCAAACCTGCGAGAGCATCCATGCCAGTGCTCAGGGCAGAGGAGGCTCCCTCCCCTCCCGCCCCCTTAAGAAACAAGGGGATGAACAAGTGTACTGTAAGTATCCACTCAGCTGTTCCTGAGTCACCATTTGTTACTCAGCATAAGTTCTGGGTGTGTTTCAGTCCCAGTGAGTGTTCTGAGCTTGTCCAAGTCACCACTGGGTGACTCGTTCGTTGCATGCCCCCCAGGGCCACCATCGGAGAATCAAGTTGACACTGGACCATTGAGTCTGTGCCTAGCATCCAGAGATTGTCCCCACCCAGTACTTTCTGCCCCATATCGTGCCTAGACCTTCCCAGGACTGTCTCTGCATCCAGCACTAGTCCTACACAGCCTGAGTCTCCACAGGGAGCCCCAGATCCATGTGTCTTCCTCTAGTGTTCCAAGCATGCTAAAGCTCCACTCAGTGTCAGATGCTCCATGTCTCCCTGGCCACACTGGAGTCTCCATCTTGCACTTTGCCATAGTCTCAGGCACATCTAGGTCTCAGCTGAGTGGTTCACAACAACCAGTCTCCACTCAGTACCTTATCGGCCAGCCCCAGGCTCACTAGAGTTCTGCCTGGCTGTTAGCACTGGTTAAAGGTTGACCTGGTCTACCTTGTACCCTGGCTCATCTGAGACTCCACTCAGCATCAAGTGCCCTCCTCAGCCTCACTGGAATCTCTTCACGTCAGTGCTGGGGACACCTGGATCTCAACCATGTGCTCCAGGTCTGCACAGCCACCATCTGGTATTTTGAGAAAGGGGCAGAAAGGAATGTAACTTGTTAAAGACTTCAGGCTGTGGAAAAAAAATACTCATCAGTAAATACGTAGATTATTTTTCTTTCTTTTGACCCGTTATTTTTTTCTTCTCTGTTAGTATGCATGTGTATAGTATGTGAAATCTGGATTTTTATCACTTGTTTTATTGTTTCCCCTATATGTCCTTTTTTTTAAATGTATTTGGTACAGGGTTTCACTGCACAGCTCAGACTAATAGTGATCCTTCTGTTTTCAGCCTCTCCAGTGGTGGGATTACAGGTGTGCACCACCACACCAGGTCTGGATGGCCTGCTTAGCATGCCTGGGGGTGGCGGGGCTGGCCTGGTATATAGTGCTGGGATTGAACCCCAGTCCCTGCACTTGCCTAAGCAGGCACTTAGTCCGCTGAGCTATCTCATCAACCCTGTTTCCCCCTTTTAAGTACAGGTTTGTTTTTCGTTGTTGTTGCTAGGTTTTGTTGTGTGTGTGTGTGTGTGTGTGTGTGTGTGTGTGTGTGTTTTAGGTCTAACTTTCTGTCTCTTTCAATTTGTTTTCTTATTTTCTTTTTTTCCCTCTAATCTCTATACCTTATTTTTTTATTTCTGTTGCCATGATGTATTACTATTAGATGATATTAACAGCAAAATATATCCTACCAGTCCCTAAATTTCCTACATCCTTGTTTTGTTAAATTACTCAATATGGGTTGTGATCTCTGGATTTTATTCTTTAGCTTCATTTCACATTTGTCTAAGTTCACTTGGTGTTTGTTCATTCTATCATTTCTATTCTATAATGCTAAACATTTAAAAATAGAGACTAGGGAAAAAAAATAGAGACTAGCTACAAAGAACCTATAATAAGCCTTTATCCTCTTATTATGGAAAATTCATAGCCAGGGAACCTTGAGTTCCTGGATATGAATAAACTCCCTCCTCCAACTCTACGCAAAACTCAACCAAATATTAAATATACTAATAGCAGGAGCTATTACACAGCACCCTGGATTTGGAAGCAAAGTACCAATTATAATAATTACCATGAAATAATTACAGATACTTGTCAAATCTCTGAATGATTTAGCTGAGATACTAACATAAGTATACAAAGATATGCGGTTAATTAAAAACTAGTTACATATTTGTATATAATATCTCTCATTATAGTTTTAATATTGTTATTAAGAGAATGGCATGACCCATTAGCTGGAACTGATCACTTATTGACAAGGGGAAATTCTTTATTTGTGAGCTTTCTCCAGAATGGATTAGTACTAACCAGAAGGATCTGTTGTTTACTCCTAACCAAGTTACATCTTTCAGAACTATAGTACTATTAATGACCACAAGGCAATCAGATACTAGCATACAGAGAAAACCGATTAATATTAGTAACTTTATCACTTTGGCTGTAGTAATAAAATATAGGTGAAAGATAACTGAATATTGACATACCCAACAAACTAATAATGTACCATCCTTAACCATAGAAGATATATAATTATACTCAAAACATTGACCTATAATAAATCTGTAATAAATGAAAGAATTTTTTTGATTATTGGTACAACTTAGATATACATAATCATATTAGTGATACATTAACGATAATATATATTAACGATATTATGCATTAATGATTCTTTTTTCCCCCATTCCCACCCCATCCTTTACCCTTTTCTGCTTCCCATTCACGAAGCTCTCTTTTTCTTTTCTTTCTTTTTTTTTAAAAAAATGTATTTTGTACAGGGTCTCACTCTGCAGCTTGGACTCAGTTGTTCTCTTCTTTTCAGCATCCCCTGTGCTGGGATTACAGGCAGGTGCCACTATGCCCAGTCTCAGTGGCCAGCTCAGCACACCCAAGGGTGGAGCTGGTGGGGCATGTGGTGCCAGGGATCGAGCCCTAGTCCCTGTGTTTGCCTAAGCAGGAAACTAGTCCACTGAGCTATATCACTAGCCTGCTCTCTTTTCATTTCATCCTTTTCTCATTTTTATTTTTCTTTTACTTCCTTCTCACCACACTCCAGTTTCCTTTTCCTTTTCAACAGTTTCTTCCTACTTTACAATATCTTTTGCACATTTGGGTTTTTTATATTTTAAGTCTCTCACACCAAAGAGGTAATGCAATATTTACACATATGTTTGACTAATTTCATTTATGATTATGGCCTCAAGGTTCATTTGTTTAACTGTCTTGATTTCATTATGTCAAAAAAATCTTTTTTATCCACATGGGTATTTGGGTTGTTTACAAAATTTAGCTATTACAGGGCTGGAGAGATGGCTCAGTGGTCTAAAGCACCTACTTGGAACTAGCTTGGCAAAGCATCAGGGACCGCTGTTCAATCCCCCAGCACCACATGCCAGCCGGCCCCGCCCCCTGGTGGGCTG